AAATATGTTGTTACCTGTCTGGAGAATCTGTTTGCACTGTTGTGGATAAACGCTGGTTGATTTATACGCTCTATCTACTGTATATACGTTCAACACTGGTCACACATAAAGGCAGCTATTACTCCTTCTTTTGGCTACTCCTTTTATGGGTTGGCACAGCGAATCACCTGCCTCCATGTCACCCTGTCACTAGCATCATCACACCAACCCTCGGCATGACCTTCACTATATTGATGAGTCTTCACTGTGGTCTTCCTCTTTTCCTCCTATTTTACATACAGGCAGAAACTAGCGCTGATTAAAAACAGCAAAAATACTTTTTTTTTTAGGTTTATCAATAGATAAACTTTCAAGATTTAATATAAATAAACTGACAATAGCATTAGCGTAGGCAGGCCACTGCTCAAGCGTCCCAGCTCATCATTCTACCAGCAGTTGAATCTCATGAGATACATTTACTTTTACTTTTTGCTTTAACTTACCTACAATTGCTCCATGTCTGCAAGCCTCTTTGCAACCCAACTCCACTCCATGTTTCATGTTGTGTAGGACATAAAAGGAAGGCACCTGTAGGGCAGGAATTGCAGGCTTATTTTGCATTAGTACCTGCAAATATACCTTTTTCTTACAATTTATATTTTCAGTTAATTGGGAGGCTGTTGAATTAATTTGCAAAATGGACACTATGCAGTACATATCATATCTGTGATCTGTTTGACATGATCTATCTGGAATAAATGCTCAGTCTTGTTTCTTCAGCTTATAAAGGCTGCAGCGCATAGAGCTTTAATGAGGGTAGTGTTAATCAAACACACAGACTGTTTTGAGGTTGGATGGGGAGTGGGGGATGGGGGTGGTGGTGTATACACAGACTTTATCAGACACCACCCTCCAGCACCACCCCGCTCACTGCACGCACCAATGATGACCCCACCCACCCAGGTCCCATCTATAGTGAGCAGACAGAAGGGGGTTTATCTCAAACTGCTGCAATCTGCAGAAATCACTGTGCTGGACACACTCTGGCAGCCAGTGGCAGCCTTATATCCCACGCTCAGCTCTTTTCCTTTGTCATGGTGGATTGTGGCTGAGCTGTCTGCTTGGGTGTGGGTCTTTAAACAGAGGTGGGTGACTAGGACTGAGGGCGTAAACAGGTTCTGTGCATGTGTGTGAGAGAGAGAGAGAAAGAGAGCTATCGTTCCCGATGCACAAGCATGCAGCTCAGTTGAGTGATTTTTGAAGACCCGGGGCTTTCTTTTATTCTTAAACACTGCTGTGTAGCATCTGGTCAAAGACTCGTGGTTTCCTTTACACACTTAAATCCACCTTAACTCTAGTGTCTTAAGGCCTCATTAAGATCATTGTGTAGTTACAAGTCACATTCTTTCAAGCCAAAAATTTTTTAGAGATAAAGAGAAACGTGCCCTGATAGGTGTCAATGATGAGCTTGTATATACAGCATTATCAGCTTAGCAGTTTTATATCCAACCTGTTCACAGCTTTTAATTAATAGGTAAATATTTGGTAACTCTTTGCATTTATCTGTGTTATTCGGTCATCCTAAGAAGGGAGCAGTTTACTCAAGGTTACCCTACATTACATTCCAGATGTGACATGGTCTCATTTGTGTGGTTAACAATAAGTTTTCTGTTATAAATCTGACTGTTAAAGCTCAAACCTCTGTAAACTTACATCATAATGTTCCAAATTCACAAAATAATTACTTTAAGCCAATCAAATTCTACTTGAATATTTACTGAACACATTTCAACTGTTTTATGGTTTCCCACTGCCACCTCATTAAACAGGCAAATCTATTATCCATATGGTTTATATCCCCATTCTTCTTTCAAATTTCAAATCAACAACTTTTCCCAATTTTCCTTTCACACTTTTTTTTGCATTAAATATAGTTAAAGATGTTGCAAATCAAAAACAACCTTTCTAGCTGCAGCTGTAAAGAGGCTGCTCGTTTGGAAAACTCCAATAATACATCCATAGCAAAAATGCAAAGTGTTCAAACCACTCTAACAACACAGCAGAGCTTTTTCATTACCACTAACTGCCTTTAATGAGTAGCATGCTTTTTTTTTTTTCTTCAAATTGCTGAGCCCTCCCTAAGATAAGAGACCCATCATCCCATAAACCCCTCACCACCGCCACTTTTTTGGTTGCGCTACACCCGTTGATTGGCTGGACCAAGACTCAAAACTGATTTAGGTGTCAGTTTGGGTGCCTTCCTCAGTTCCTGTCAACAGTGAACCAACATGAATGAATGGCTCCCTAGAGTGTTCATCTTTTCTAACTGCTGTAACCATTAAGACACTGCACACACTGTAGTGCAGCAGAGAAAAAGCACACAGGAAAACACTTACCCATGGTGCTGAGACACTCTTTCATGACCATCTTCCGGGGCTTTATGAATAACCCAGATCTCAATGACCTGCTTTATGTTGCACACCAGCCAGGTGCTGCATAGTGTCTCAGGAATTATTTAGTAGAACTGCAGTTCCTCAAAGATAACCCTCTGAACTTAAGTAAAATCTGGAGTAAAATCTGAAAAGAAAAAATAAATATGTATAAAAATAAAGATCAAGAATGTGGTGTTGAGGATAGGTCTTTCATTTCAAAAAGTGTAAAATGTATTCTTGCAGTATAGTGCATTAATATGGAACAAAACCCTAATCCTAAGAAATCCTGACAAAGAAAGAGAAGGAGCCTAGTTTGAGAATCTGAAGCTTTAAGGTCCAGTTATACATTTAATACTCCAAGCATTTAACCATATTTTACAACTGTACAACAGTAGAAACAACTTTCTTGTCTTGAATTTAATAGGAAAAAATATTACTTGCTTTGGTTTAAGGATATGTACTTGGCATTATGGACAAACACTGGATGGAGGTCCATCCATAAAGGTCACAGTGCTCCCTCAGCTGAATTCTGCTAACATACTTCAACTATAAGTTACATTAATTCCTACAGAGTGGTGATAAAAAATTAAACACTCACAGTGCTGATAAATTATTGCAGCGAGAAATCAATTCATTTATCCAGTTACTGGTAGTTTAGTGCTTCTGCATCAATCATGTTAACCAGAATGAAGGACACTGTGCGGATGGACCTGTGCAGGTTGAACCTTGGGAAGTACCCCTCATGCGTCTTTGAAACTAAAAAAGGGGCCTTCATCAGCTTACGCAGCTAGTTTTAAAACAAGTAACTCCCTTGAAAATTGCTAAACAAATGGAAATGCGCTGAAGATAGTCTGTGCTCTCAGTCAGCTGTCCTAGTGTCTGTGCATGAGTGATTTATTGATCCACTTCTGCGCCTAGAGAAAACGTGTCTCCTGCTTGTCTCCTAATTTGATTCTGCAATCTAAGACAGATATTTTTTACACTTTTATAACTGTGGATTCCTGTTTCTATGAGTCTATGGTTGTTATTATGCATACCAGTTTTAAAGTGGCTCGTTTATTCTTACATTTATTGTGTAGACTGACACAATGTATAGATATAGTAATCACAGAGAACCGAGTCTTGTAATACCCTTTAAAATGTAAATGTAACAGATACTGCTGTACATATTTGCTTATAAATTCTAGACAAAGTGTATGTGAGTGCAACGACTTTTTTTTAATGGAATAGCAAAGTGACATGAACCAGATGCCCTCTTGTCAAAGTTGGTTGCCTGTTCAGTTCATATGCTCTGGCTTTGACACAGAGCAGGCCTAAAAAACTATCTACAGCAGATAAACAGCATTTGAAAGTCATGTCCTTAAGAAACAGGAAAATATCCAGCAAAGATCCAACGTAGGACCCGAGTGATGCATCTGGCCCTTCAATTGATCCATTTATTGATCACCAAAACCTCATCAGAAACAGTCTCAGAGGAAGGGTGGCTGTCAAAAGGCCATTCTTAAGGAAGAGAAACAGAGAAAATGCTGATGTGTATCAAATTTCACAAGAGCCGGACTGAAAATCAGTGACAGCTGGTCTTGTGCAGTGATGAATGAGTGATGAAATTTGACATTTTTACTTCAAACTGCTATTGGTATGCATGGAGAAGGACAGGAGAGAGGTACAACAGTGAGTATCTACAGCCATAAAGCCATAAAGCACAGTGGAGGCTCTGTTATGTTTGGGACTGCATTTCAGCTCGTGGTGGGGATCCGGTCAGAACTGATAAAGCAAATAGTGTCAGGTCAATTGGAGAACATTTGACTGGGATATTTCAGCATGACAATGACACCTCAGACACACTGCCAGCACAGTAAATGGTTAATGAACTGTTTTTTTTTATAAAAAAGTTATTAGAAAAGTTCTATATAAGGATCATAATGAGAAGTATGTTGTATAAAGTTGTATAAAGTATGCATTTTATACAACTAGCATCATTCACCCATCCATTTAAGCCGCTTTCTATGCTTATGTGCTTCCTAACATTAACATCTAACATTCACTCCCATCAGAGAGCAACTTGGGGTTAATAAAGATAAACTACCCCCCCCCCCCTTCAAAAAAGCATACCTACATAGAAGCTTCATGGCTCACTATAAGTCATGGATTGGCCTCCCCAGATCTCAGTACCAAAGCAGTGTGGGATCATCGTGACAGAGTGACCAACAAAAGCAGCCAGCATCCAAAGAAGAGCACTGGGAAGTCAAAGAAGCCTAAAAAACGCTGTTGAAGAATTAAAACTATGTTTCAGGTTAGTAAGAATTATTGCACGTTTCAATGAAATGCTCCAATTTACAATTTTACAAGCATAATATAAAGAAATGGGGGGCTGGTTTGACACTTGCACAGCACTGTAGATAGACAGAGTCTAATTAAAACCACGGTACCGGTATATGAAAGTGAAAGCTTTCAGTTTTAGCACCAGGGACAGCACCAGACACAAGGACAGAGCATTATCTTCCTGCTATTGTTGAGAATACTGATACTGTGAGAATACTGCGCGACTGTGAAGGGTCAGAACCCAACCTACACACCCTCCCACTCACCCGCCACCTAACCCCCTCCCACGCACATCCCTAGCTACCACCACCACATCTACTTTTTCTTTCTTTCTTCTCCCTGTTGAACGTTAGCACAGGGAGCTGGAGTCAGTGAGGTACGGACGGTCCTTCGGATGCTCGGCTGCCGGGGGGGGGGAGAGAAGAAGCTGCTGCGGATATCCGTCTCATACCTGCCTCAAAACGGGGTCCTCTCAGCCTGTATATGTTTTTCCCCCCCAGCAGACCGTTTTGCTGTGTGAAAGCTAAATAAAGAGAGAACCTGGCTTGGTTTCGTAACGCGCTGCACCGCTAGCAGCGCGGAGGGAAAGAGGTTTTTCGAGGATGCGGATTTAAAGGGAAGACGTTACCAGTGTCACCTGGGATTTTTGTTAAACCGTTAATATTCTAATTTAGCGTAGCCGGACGCGTCCGAGAGCAAAGGAAGATTTTTCACATGTTTGGTTAAATTTCGCATATAACGACGCGATAGGACAAAAAAGAAAACATCGAGGGCCTCTTAAACAGAAGAGAAAATAAGGGGTAAGTGTGTGTGTTGTTGGTTTTTTTTTGTCTCTTTATTTTCCGCCACCAGCAGGCTAGCCACTCGTAACAAAGCTAATGAGGGGGGAGTCTGATATTCAGGTGACTTGCTGTTAGCTTGCCACTGCTATTAGCTTTTCATGCCAAAAGACAACGTTTTCTGTTTTACATTTCTGTGACTGGAGATAAGCCTGCATACATTTCTGTTATGTTAGCTGCCTGGTTGGGAAGTGTCCAACTGCAGCGCGTTGTGTTAGTCGTTGGGAACATCTCTGTGTACGTCTGCCTCTTCTTGCCTTTGTTTGAATCGATGTCAAATGCAGCCACATTTTATCTGCGTGTTGTGCACAGCCAGTCAGCCAGCCTGCCTGTGGATCTTTGATTCAGCATCTGCTTCTACACCAACCAAGCCTTGCCGCTGGCTATGTTTTTTACGTACCATACCATGATATGCTACAGTGCTGGCATCTTGTAAAGCTGTGGGCTTCGTGGTTATGTTATGTTATCATATGACATTTGAGATTTATTCTGCGTGCCTGGCCTAGGCTGTGAGTCATAGCTTGGGATGCATCAGGTAAAAGTAAAAATGAGGGCTCACTAGGGAAGAGATGATTGCAATCAAAAGCCAGTTAACACGTTGTTTTGAAATGTGCAAGTTTGCTATATGGACATCAAGCGCCTCACTTTTTAACTAGCAGATAGCACGGAGCTGGCATTTACTGGCCACCACGTGTAGATCCATGTTTCATTGGCCCAGAAACGTCTGCACTGAAAATGGTTGGAAAACAAAAAACCTCACATGGTTGGTTTATTGGTTTATGGTTTATTGTAATCAGTATTCTTGATGAGGAATTTGCAATTTGATGTTTTTGTCTAATGCTGGTACTGGGTAACACCCATGATGGGGTGTTTTTGTTGATTTTATGTATGTATTTATTTCTTTTTTTAAACCTTAAAGCACAAATTAGTAATGCAGGGCTAAAATGTTTAGGTGTTGTAAACCACACAGTAGCTAAGGAGTTTGTTGATGTCACTTAACTGCTGTTAGGGCTACAAGAGTCTGCAAGGAAATGGTTTGAAACCAAAGTGAGGATCTCTTCATTAGAAGACAGTCATCCAGTTGTCCTCAGCACAGTACAGCTCTGGTTTGTGGCTCAGTTTATATTCAGTGACTGATTCTCTAGCTTTACAGAGTACCGGTAGGTTAGAAAGCAGATTAATTCTGTGATATTTCCATTGCCTTTCCTCCCCCTTTCCTGTATCATAGGCCTGAAAACTGGTTCGGATGTTAATGTTTGATATAATTGTATGATTTTTTTTGTTGTTGTTTTTGAATTTATGTCTATAAAGTCAACACAAAATAAGTAAAATGTATTCTAAAATGTAATTTTAATTTCATGTAGGATTTGAGTTGTTTTTATTGGTAAAGACCCTTCCTGTCAGCTAGTCCTGAAATCATTCTGCATGTCCTCAGTTCATATTCATCACAAAAAATTTAGGGACAGTTTCCAGTGCAGGGTAGTCCAGTACATCATTAAAACCCACTATGACCTCAATAATAAACGTAATCATGATTTTTACTGTGACAACTCTGAATATGTTAAAGCTTTGTAAAAAGCAAATTTATGGCAGAGATGATTTGGTAGTGAGTGTATGTTTCACATTCAGCAGTGTGTTATGAAACAGTGCTGGATTTTGTGCCGTTCTACCATTTCTACTGTTCTACTTCATATATTTTCTATCCCTGGTATTAAGGCTTGTACAACTATTGTCTCTAAATAGCCATACTAAGGTTTTTTTATGGCTTGAAATAAGCCTTAAGGGTGACACTAGGCACATAAACATGACTGGCCTGTATGTAGCTGAGGCAATGAGTCTGTGCTACTTTACTTAACATACATCTCTGCACTTTCTGTTATTTATGGCTATTGATGAACAGAAATGTTGTTGTTGCTTGAAAACTAAACAGGACCAATCCTGCATACCTAAATAATAGGGAAGTACTGATATATTGGCTTTATGCTGTTGTCAGTCAATACTAGCCACTTATAAAAAAAATGAAACACATTTACAGATGGCAGTGGCTGACAATTTTGTCACATCACAATCACAATAAGACTAAAAAAAATTATTTTCGTCACTTTTTCGTGGTATGTAACAGAGATGAATGACAACAATAACAAAACAAGCGAAGATATTGCTGTCACCCATTGAAAGCTGTAAAAGTAAACACATGCATTGACCTAACGTTTAAGAATTGGATCATACCTACCATTATATTGTAAACAAAATGAATATGGAGCCACTAATTGAATTATTCAGTATTAGCCAGTTATTCTGCTTGTCTCTTTCTTTGTGGAGTTGATCCCAGTTCTTGCTACAAATAGATTTTGCTTTTCACATGATGAATATGAAGAATAGGTCAGTCTTCTTGTCTTTGTTAGTGGCTTTTCTTCAGATGTATTAACATAAATAGGCTCTTTCTGGACTGCTAATACACATTGTAATCACTGCATTGGCTAGACTTGAAGAAAATATCAGCATACATATATACGTAAACTATATTAGCATATTGTTATAGATTCAGTTCAAGTAACTGATATAACTAACCAGCAATTCTATATATATCATTTAATGTGTGAGCTTAAAAATATTTTTTAAAGTGCCATGTTCCTGGCAGCTGAATAAGCATTTATGTTCAGGAAAGAGGTGTGTGTTGTTGGGGTCAAAGTATTCTCAATTATTGTGTAATTAGACATTGTGCTTAGTGTTTCACTTAGTGCTATATCCTGTTTCCTGGAAGAAGAAATAACAAAACAAAATAGATTAATGCACTAAAATCCTTTCATTGGAGTAAAATGTGCTTGTTGACCAATTAAACCTCATGGAATCCAGATCATACGAAAAACACCCAAAAAATGTGGAGCTTTTTTTTGATGGAGACACAGACAGGATGATATAGATGGATAAGAAATTGCTATTAGCTGGCTGGCTGGTTGCCTTGATGAACAGCATTCAACAATAGAATGGGACTTTGAATATGGGCCCCCTATAGTGCTGATTCTCAAAATCCCTCTTGGACAAGCCTTTTTCAATTCATGCTATTCACGCTTTTATCTTGCGGCAGTGAACCATATTACTAACCAAATTTAAGCCTTTTATGGCTGCTTTCTAATGTGCATCTCTTAACAATTCATATTTATAGGTCTAACTACAGGAGCATCTCATGATATAGTGTACTAATATATAATCTATTTATCTATTGTGGTTAATTTATCCAGTCTTTCTACGTTTGATACAAATTTAGAACGCTGATTATGATGATTTTTACATCTGATTCTTAAGACAGAATAGATGCAAAGATTAAATAAAATCTTTGGTAAAGAATGTTTAATAGGTTTTAAAAATACTATACTATATAGTATTTTGTACAACATGCTGTTCAAGGGGACCACAAAAACCATAAAATATGTGCTAGTTTTTAATGATTTCTAAAGTTGGAAGTCATTAAAAACTAGTATCAGTTTGTATACCTGGCAGAAATAGATTAATGCTGTTCAAGTTGTGTTTCTAAGCAGTTATGTTTTATTGGTTTTCTTATTTATACAACATGTACAACAATACAACTTAACCACAGTGGGAGGAAAAGGAAAAACAAAACAAAACAAACCAGAAAATACAACGAGATTATACAAAATCAGGCCTCCCATTTTGTACATAGTTCAACCATTTCGACCAGTATTCGTCAAATGAGTCCGCCTGCAACTTTAGCCTAAAAGTTTTTCTTTCCATGACAAAAATAGTATATATCACGTCAATCCACTCATTTGTAGTAGGAGTATCCTCATTAAGCCAACAATAGGTTATGGCCTTTGTGGAAGCCACCAACAGCACGCTGAACAAATATTTATCCGGTTTACATAGATTAAGACTCTCTAAGTTCCCTAGGTACAATACTGCAAAATGAAATTGTATTTTCTTTTGGAAGATTGTTTCCAGGACCTTATGTATTTCCTTAAAAAATGGAGCCACAAGAGGACATTCCCAAAAGATGTGGAACCGATTTGCTGCTGCATGTCCACACTGCCTCCAGCATGTTGTCTTATGGGAATAATTGGATTTTCGAGCCGGGGTATTAAAATAACAAATTATATTCTTCCAACTGAATTCCCTCCACGAGGGGGAGCTTGTTACCGACCACTGCTGCATACAGATCCCATCCCAATCCTCTTCTGTTAGGGATAGATTACCATCTGTTTCCCATCTTGCTTTAACATATCTTGTATCATGACCCCTTGGGTTGGTCAGTGAACGATATAATTTGGAAATAATTTTTTGATAGGGTGCATCTCTATATGCATTCTCGAATATGTAAATAATTTCTTCATTCCCAGTCAGTAACTGGGGATGTTTTAGCTTGTTATTCAAGAAGTCCCTCAGTTGCAAATATCTAAAAAAGTCTTGATTTTGCAACCCCAAACTTATTCTTAAGGTCCTGGAAACTCATCACTTTTCTGTCTTTCAACAAGGTACTGTATGTGGTGAGACCTTTATTAGCCCATGTTTTAAATGTCGAGTCGGTCTTACTAGGCAAAAATTCTGGGTCATATGCAAACCACATAAGCAGTTTACATTTTTAAGGTTAAATTGAGGTTTCCGTTCATTAGAATATAGCTGCTTCTCTGAACAACTGTGTGATTATCAACTTAAAGTATTTTAAAACAAAGAAATGTGGTGTGTAGAGCCAGAGACATTATCAGCTGAAGATGTAGCACTGAAATGGTTCTAAATTTAAATCTATGAGAGAATTATCTCAGAGCCAAGATAATGACAGTTTTAACTTCTAAGGGAAAAAGTTGTTAAAACATTATTGTAAACTAGAATTGCCTAACTTATTTGTTTTAATCAGATCGGGCTGGTGATTCTATGCATGCAGTTTTAACGTCCCTGTGACCATTAAAACTAAAGTTAATTTAGTTAATACTCAAAATAACTGTCAA